AACATAACATTTCCTTGGCAGAGGCTCGTGTTTTTGTTTTGGTTTGTCAATTTGCGATATTTGTTGATACGCGATACAATATAATTATGACTTTTGAAAGTGTACCGAGCCTCAGCAATTTGTTTATTTGTTTGTTTTGACGTCGATTGAAGCAGCGTTTAAGTGTTATCTGCCATTTGCTTGTTAAGTGCCAACTTAGAGATATCCATCGGCGGTTTTGAAGCGACAATTCCCATATACTCGTATGTATGTATGTATGTACTTTTAATAAGTCTTGATACCTTTAATTCCTTTGCTAAATCATATTATTATTGAAGTTATTGTATTGTTGCGATTAAGGTTTTCCTTTTAATTTTTTAATAACTTTTTTCTAAATTTTTACTATCTGGTACTCAACTCTTAATTATGCCTTTCAGTCGATTTTGATCGCGACTTCATCCGCATGGAATTTCAAAATGGTTCTAATATCCTTTTTAATAATAATATTTTCAATTGCATATATTATATTTGTTGACCTCTGCAAATCGATGTCTGGATTCTAAATTTCAAGCAAATCGAAAAAACAAGAATTTGTATAATTGATTTTGCGGTCATGCTAAATAATATTTTGTTTATAAGTATTAAGTAAACTAAAGAATTTTTTCAATTAATTTGTACCAAGTCTACTTCCCAGAAACAAAAGTTCTTCGTATAGCTATATATTATACATATATTCCAAATAATAAGTAAAACAAATTAAGAATATGATTTGTTTGAATAGATCGTCTCCAGCTCCATTTTCTAAAAGAAAAAATGTCGTGCATTTAAGAGGCATACCTAATGTGAAAATTCAAAGAAAAATCATATTTCGGTAGATTACACCTTTAAAAATAATATATTAAAATTTTAAATCGATATCTCAAATTGTTTTTGAGTTATAGCAATTTAAAGAGCAGTCGCTCGGCAGCTAGAGAGTCTCATTAGCTATGAGGGAAAACGATTATTTTATCCTTAAACGCGAAATAGCATTTTCCGAATTCGCTGCAGCAATTATTCAAAAAAATATGATCCGATCACTATCGAATTTTTTTTTACATGTTCTATATATAGTTCTCCGTATAATGACCTTTCGATTTTTGATCTCATCAAAAAAACGAATTTTGGCAGGCCAAAAACGACCAAAATTCTGGGTAAAATTCGACTATTTTTTGTAAAACGCCGCCATATTGTCAATTTTAGAGATTTTTTTTTAGATTTCATCCACGGAGAAAACCGGAATCACTGCAGCAGTGAAGGATCATTTTTTCGCGCGGTGGAGATCGACTATAACTTAAAAAATATTTAATTTCTTGCTTCAAAAATTTCACTGTATATTCTTGTAAGATGTATAAATATATTCTTAAAATTTTGAAATAGGCCATTACACTAGGTGCGCACCTTAAAACCACGCAAAGGGCTATATTCAAAATTTCAAGCAAATCCAATGGTATTTTTTCAAATAGTCCTAGGACAATTTCCCGGGAATACTTTCTTATAGGATGCCCACATTATAAACAGAACATCCCTTATGAGTTACGAGGTTACGAGGCCAATGACATAGGCAGTAATTTAATCCGTCAGCAGTTATTCAGTACGAAGAATTTTATATATACAGTCAAGGAAAAAAGTCCTACGTACACCCCTCGATTTTGTGGTTCTGGCTATTTGGTAACAAAAATTAATAAAATCTTTAAATCAAACTTAAGACATTTGTCAAGAAGTTTATTCGTAAAACATAAAAGTAATTCTTTGCAATAATATAAAAAGTCACAGGCAAAAAGTCTTCATACAGATGCCACAAATGTTGAAATTCTACTTTGTATGTCGTTGATACACCTTGGGCATCAATCACTGCTTGTAGACGCCGGGGCATTGAAGTCATCAAATTTTCAATTATTCGTGAGAAAATTGCGTGTTTTTTTGACCATTTTTCTACGTGATTCGCCGTCTTCGAGAAACTTATTTTCGGATTTGTTTCACAATGCAGCTCACCTCTCGTTGCGAAAGCTTTCTGGGCTGGCCAGATCGTGGCATATTTTCGTTACAGTTTTTATTATTGTAGTTTTTTAAGATACTTTGTACTGTAGAACGGGTTATTATTACAGTTTTAGTAATTTACCCATATGATCTGTTTTCATTTCGGAAATTAAAAAAGAAGCAATAGATTAGAATGTTAAACAGGGTGATCACTTTTTTTAATTTCACTATTGAGTTTATTACTTTTTACAATAATTATTATGTTTTTCTATAATTAGAGTTGCTTATGAGGAAAAAGAAAGTCCATACATACATATATTCCAAACCATATATTATATATATATATACATATATATACATATATACAATACATATATATATATATATACTGTATATTCATATAACAAAAATAGCCACAATCGCAAAGTCGAGTGGTGTATGTAGACTTTTTTCTTGACTGTACATATATATGTAGGTATATAATAAAAGAGAGTTATTATTGCGAATACAACGGAGGACTTCCGCTGTGAGTAACTTTTCTTTGCCATTCTAAACAAAGTCATAATCGTCTTTAGAATTTTGAAGTTTGTTTACCGCAAAATATCTAATCAATTGTTTTACTAACATATTGTATATATGTACATACATATATACTTATTTTTATACTGGACTTAAACTGTATAGTTTTTTATTAAAAATATTTACGCACATAACTTTCCATCTATCCATATGCATAGATGTAAATATATATATATATACATATATGTACGTTTACGAATTGATTACGGACTTTATTATTGCCAATGCAATCTTTTCGTGTTCACATGTGTTAAGTCAAATAAACAAATAAACATACAATTATTACCTATTCAATATTCTTAATTACCGTTTATAGATAAGAATATTGATTAAATGAACACGTTAAATATTATATGTAGCAGACATTTGAGCATACATACATACATACAAATTATTCGATTTTCATGCACTAGTTGCTATTGTCAAATAATATATTCTGCTATCGATTCGAGTCTAGTCGGGAAAATTCTTATCATCAATTTAAAATATCTACACTTCAGTTTATCGTCAATAATGGTTAAATAATTACATACATAAACATCCATATATTGCTCAATAAAACTTGAATTGTGGTAGATAATTGCCTTTGTATGGAATGCTTTTTCAAAGTCAATGGAACTTTAATTTCCAAAACAGGACTACAGGCCTTTTTGCACCAAAATTTTGTCAGAAAGGAACACGTAAAATAGAAAGGACTTTTTACAAAAGCAATTTTCATTTATCAGTACAAGTGATGGTAATTCAAATGGAGATTTTTTTTAATTATAAAAGTATTAATGTGTACTGCTGCTCTTCATCAGTCTCGAACTAACTCCAGAAAAGGTCGGTGGTTTCCTTTTTTTGGAAACCAAGAAACATGGTATGGGTTTTTTTATATGATAGATTAATTAACGTATCGATGCTATTGTCAATACGAATTTTAATTCAGATTTGGTTTTGTCATCGGCCTCAACAACCGTGACGGTAGTTTTGCTTACTACAAATTGTATAAAAAAGCGTCTTGGCAACCATCTCACTTGCGACAGTCATATTTTGATGTCGTAAATAATTTTGTCTATCTAGGAACCAATATCAACACCAACAATATTGTCAGCTATAAAAATTTGCACAGAAACCCTCTTGCCAACAAGTGCTACTTTGCAAAAAGAAAACTCTACCAGTGGCTCCTCCATCCCGTCCTATTTTATGGCGCAGAAGCGTGAATGAGGACATCTTATGGCTTCGCGTTTTCGATGTTTGGCGCCAGTTGGAAATACCAAGTGAAACCAGGTCGCTCACCACATGATCCTTCCAATGGAGTGGAGGTCTGGTACTGCTTCTCCGAGTACTGCATCGAATACTTTCTAAGTTGGAGTGCTTTCATCCATTCGTACGTCATGACTTAGCCAGCGTAACCGCTAAGTTTTTACAGCTCATTGCTTCATCGCCTCCTGTATTCGCAAAACTTTGTTCTCGAAGACTCCCAGAGCCGATTCATCAGATGTTGTCACCGTCCATGCTTCTGCGCCATATAGTAGGATGAGATGAGCGACTTGTGGCGTTTAGGTTTTTGTTAATGGGGAGAGGACTTTACTTTTCAATTGCCTACTCAGTCCAAAGTAGCACCTGTTGGCAAGAGTTATTCTGCGTTGGATTTTAAATCTAACATTATTGTTGGTGTTGATGCTGGTCTCTAGATAGACGAAATTATCCATGACCTCGAAGTTATGACTGTCAACAGTGACGTGGCAGGCGAGTCGTGAATGCGACTGTTTGTTTGATGACGGGAGATATTTCGTCTTGTCCTCGTTAAACACCATACCCATTCGCTTCGCTTCTTTATCCAGTCTGGAGATAGCAGAATTCACGACGCGGTTGTTTAGGCCAATACTGTCAATATCATCGGCGTACGCCTTCTCTATTTCGATCTGCCGCTCTTCTTATTTGCTCCTGCACTAAATTAAAGAAATCACACGATAAAGAATCACCCTGTGTGAAACCTCGTTTAGTATCGAACGGCTCGTAGAGGCCCTTCCATATTTTGACAGCGCTTCTGGTGTTGTCCATCGTCAGTTTACACAGCCGCATAAGTTTTGCGGGGATACCGAATTCAGGCATAGCGACGCAACGGCAGCTCCTTACTGTGCTGTCGAATGCAGTCTTAATTAACCTCTTAATAAACAAAAGAACTGAGAATTTACACCATGTTTACAAAATGCAAACATTTACGTCAAAACTTAACTTAATATAAATATATGTACATATCTTTCTACATTTCTTCCGGTGTTTAATTAGAATTTGCAATTTATGTTAATTAATTACACACAATAAATAAATAAAGTTGTTGTAGATGGAACACACCCACCCTTAATATATACATATGTATGAGCATATGAGCTTGTATAAAGAAAAATTATAACACTTAACTTTATTTAAATTATTTTCAGAATATTTTGACCGAAAAACGTAAACGAGCCACCTTCACTGAACGCAGCCAACTTAAGTATGCACGTCGTCTTGTCGTCAAACTTGGAAGTGCTGTTATTACAAGGGAAGATAATCATGGCCTTGCCTTAGGTCGACTGGCCTCCATTGTGGAGCAGGTTAGTAGTCATAAAAATTGCAAGTAAGTTTATACACAAAGTAGCACAAATAAATATTTGAAAACATACCCTAGAAGAATCCTTTTATATACATACATATATTGCAGATAAAAATATGTAGTTCATGTGAATTAAGTAGAGGATGATTCTTTATATACCCTATTTGCTGCCTAAACTGCAAAAAAAACTGACTAACCCAACTTGTTAACAATATCTCTAGCTACATATATTTCGAAATCCTTTTCCACAATTAATCCCCACAATTTCTCACACTCATGCTAGATTTGTTTTTCCGTAGCTTTTACCATCCATAAATCACGATTATAGACATTCGCTTATTGAAAGGAATAAATTATTCGCTATACCATCGCTGAAAACTTCTCATTTTAATTGCTAAAATTTAGCATACGAATGCTTATATATAAGTATGTTAATGCGACAGCCAAGAGTAAAATTGAGTCTGGGTCAAAGATGATTTTTGAATTCTCCAAAAATACTTACATACATACACATATGGTATTTACATATATATCCTAACTAGTTCATCTTTCATTTATTTCCCATGTATGCAAGTGATGTTTTAAGTACGGCCTACGAATTTGCAAATGCTCGACAATGCATCAACTTTACACTAGTTGTGTACTATTGTAGCTCGCTTAGGCATGTTGAATTTCCACTTCATCAAAAAAATAAAAATAACATGGGTTTGCTTGGAACAAGATTCGAAATATGAACCTCAAGCGCCACAGTGATGACCTGCTGCTTTGTTGTTGTAGCCGCAAAAGTACATTGCAAAGTCGATTCTTGCAACATCAATTTTTTTTTTCATTACGCATTCAGTACTTGCGACATTCAAAAATTTCGACCTCAATACTTGTATCATATTTTATTTTCTTGGGATATTATTTTATTTTACGCTGTTAATAATTTCAAACAAGTTAAGAGCAGGATTTTCCGTCGATCATAAGTTGAAAAATCGGCGAATCCACGTCCATTAAAAAGTTTTATTGATATTATTACGAGTGCAACATATCTTTAACAGGTAAAAGAGTTCCTTTGTAGCCAAAATCTTCCAAACAAAAAGTGCTTCTACTTATTGATATTGGTCCTTGCATTCCCAAAGAAGAGTTCCGATGCTTATAATATATCGATAGTGTATTTTCCTCCAATGGATCAAATTGTTGTAAGGTATTTATATTTAGCTTACTGCGAAGATGCTTCAGAAACCCTTGAAGGAAATTACAAGTTTCGCAATCGAAATTGTTGAACTAAATTTAGAGCCCAGCTCTTTCAAAGAATATAATAACGATGACGAAGCTTACGGTAATGAAACTACCGAACGTATGTCACTTCAGCCTACAATATATGCAAAATAATGTTTCCTTAGACGATATTAAGACGCTCCAGAGGCTTAGAAGCAATTTTGAATATGTCTGTATTTTCTTTAGTAGCGCAAGCTTTTTATTTGTCATTTAGCACTGCTGATTATGACCTCTAGCTAGAGGCTCTTTTTTTCTACGACGAACCCAGTGTTACCCACCTCCCGCTCAAACGACCGAGTTACGCGTCTGAGGGTAATCGAAGCCGAAACCGATCGCGGAAGGTCGTGGTTACACTTGCCTCTTATACTAAACAGCTACAGATTTGTTCATCAACTGCTATCGAATTGCAAGGGGAAAAGAAGAGGGACTTCATTTAATTATTTAAAGCATTTAGCAAGTAGATTTTGATACAGAAAAGCGAGTCAGAGGAATCAAAAAAAAAGTGTATTAAAATCGTTACACAACGATCTAAAAGGGTCATGGATTTCAAAGTTTGTTCTGCACGAGCCCAATGAAAGGGGCCTAAAGTGTCTAGACGATCTTAACGGGATGGTAAAGTTAAGCTCGCTAATTAGGAAAGGGCTATTGATAGCACCTTTTATCAATTTAGTTAAAAATAAAACTCCAAGTATCTTTCTACCACTATGGAGTGTAGGCAGATAAATGAGCCGTAAACGACTTTTGTAAGAAGGCAGGTTCTTGTGCGCAACCCNGACTTTTTCTGGATGCATTGGTAGCTCTTGCAATGCTTTTGGCTGATCTTCATGCTAAAATCGATAATTCTGCTCATTCATGCACGAACTAAGCCAAGCCTACCCTCTGACGGCAAAAATTTAAGATCTCTGCTGACCGCAGCTTAGAAATCGATAGAATTCTATCGGGATTTAACAAAAACCGGATGCAACGAGGATGCATTGAGACGATCGGGTACATTGTTTGAATAATACCCTGAATTAAAGAGAGAAATAGAATACAAACAAAGAGATGGAGAAGTTGGCTGAGGGGAAGAAAATATAGAGATTCTCTGAAGATTCCATGCCAAGTGCATGTTCATGTGGGAGATATGGAGACCGGCCATTTAGATTATGGAAAGAAAACTGCTTGATGAAAGTGTTGACCACGGCCTTGTTCTTTATAATAGCGAAGTTGCAATAGCCATTCAATATATGGAAAGCGGTGGAATCGAATGCTCCTGTTGCTGTTATAGCAGCAAAAGTGTTTTATTTGGTAATGTTTGCGGGAAAGAAAATCCCTGGCTGTATAGTCTTGATCGTTGAATTTTAGTTGCCTCTTAAACAGACGTGCCTTACCGTGGGTTAATTCTTAAAACCCTATTCCGCAGGCGGTATTCAATGGTCCTACCACAGAGCTAGTCAAATCGGACTTTATCCTTGAGGTTTTCTTCTTGAAAAATGCGGTCATTATATACTCAACATTCTTCAAATCTAAGCAGCGCACTCGCGTTTTCGATACTGCTGACAGTTACAGCTTCCAAGTCGTAGAAAATCTCATTTTCCTACGAACCAGCATATAATATTATCATTGGCGCTTTGTAACCGCTGAAGCAATTTTCCGCCGAGCTCCTCCTCCAATTTATGGCTTTGCGTTTTGATGTTTTTCCAAAAAATGGAAGGACCTACAGCTTATACTAAGCCGCCTCCGAACAGCAGATGGTTTTTTATGAAGAGGCTTCATTTCATGTCAGAAATACACTCTGAGGGGTTGACATTCCCTGCCGAAGGGCGACCGCAATTAGAAAATTTTAGTTTAATTTTTGAGACCAGCATAAATACCAATAATAATGTCAGATTTAAAATCCAATGTAGAATCACTGATGCCAAAAGGTGCTACTTTGGACTGACTAGGCAATTGAAAAGTAAAGTCCTCTCTCGTCTCATCGTACCCGCCCTTCTATATGGCACAGAGGTGTTGACGATGTCAACAGCTGATGAGTCGAGAAAAGTTTTGCGAAAGATTTATGGTCCTTTGCACATTGGCAACGACGAATACCGCAGTCGATGGAACTAAAGTTCAGAGAATGAAGAGACAGCGGCTATGCTGGCTAGGTCATGTCTTCCGATTGGATAAAAGCACTCCAGCTTTGAAAATATTCGATGCCGTATCTTAGGAAGACCTCCACTCCGTTGAAAGTATCAGGTAGAGAGTGACCTGGTTTCACTTAGTATTTCCAACTGGGAAGAGAGGTACGGTGCGCTAATATTCATCCGGATATAATCGTGGGATCATACTGACCAATCCAAGATTGATCATCTGTTACAATGCGGCTGTAAATTTCATTTAAATCACCTTCACACAACTCCAAAAAATCTTTACAACTCTCCAATCGTCGTTATTTGTCGAGCGGCCTGAGCATTCGCGGTACTCAACGCGCACTTATTTTTATCTTATTGAGATTTTTTCATACAAAATTTTTTAGGCTCATTCTTTGCTTNTTTGGAGAGTCTCCGTACGACACTAACTACCTCTTCCCACGCCCCCTTAATCCGACTCATCTAACCCGCTCTCCCTTTGGTTCAATCCCTTCGAAACAGCTCGTTTCCTGGACCTCCCATTAGATTAGTGAAACCTGTACCTAAGCGAAGTTAGCGAACAGCTACAACAACAGCTCTAGCTAGATATATACAAACATTTAACAAAAACGCGATTGTAGACTTCTTATTTTAAACCGAATTTGTGATTTAGTATAGTTAATGCTATCAAATTAGAGAATATTTTACAATTTAGTAAACTAGAGTATTAAAAATCCGACAAAAAAATTACAATTTCTATAATTTTGGTTGTCGTCAAGCCATGATTCGGACCATGACTCTCCGCTTGGCAAAACAAATGTTTTTTAAAATTAAAAATGAGTGAGGTCTAGTTTCCTATTCCACCATTTCCATTTTCATGGCTCTGTGGTGTTATTGTATGGAAAGATATATAATATAAACGGATGCAAATCACTGAGCGGTTTATAGTGATTTCCAAATCTGAAATAGGCCGAGATTAATGTTCTCAATCATAAATTTATGTTATGTCGTTATTTACCTGCACACTTTAAGACCAAAAGGTTTCCGGAAATTGTCATTTAAATTACCCGGACTGAATATTTTTCAGCACTTTTTTTTGTTAAGTTGGTAGCACTGTCCTTGATTTCTATGCCAAAAATGAGCGCGATCTACCAACCAGTTTGTTTACAGCTGCTGTTGAAATCAGTCGTCCTCAGTTCAGTCTGCGAATTTTCTTTTACGGCCTCAATCGATGCCAAATCCGGCGAATACTGTGGTTAATCGATGGTATTAAATGTATTTTTGGTCTAAAAATCGTTCACAGTTACAGCTCGGTGCGATGTCGCATTATCGTCATGAAAGTTTCCGGAAATTGTTGGCCCACTTGGAACGAATTTATGATTAACCAAACCACGATTATTGAAAAAACCATTTCCGGGAACTTCGTATATATAGTTCATATATATTTTTGCATTTCGGCAGGTATTTAATTTTATGTTAATTAATTTTATACAATAAATAAATAAACAACTATGAATGTATGTTTCTCGAGGCGAACCTCAAGATCTGCCGATCTAAAGAATTGCAACCTCTGTACTCCCCATAAATCTAAAAGGACTTGCAAAAAAAAAAATGTTATAGAAAGTTTGTACTTTTAAGTTCAGGGAAATGTAAAGTTTTCGCATCACCAGGGAACATAATAAAGCTCTTGAGTCTAGCGGTTTACTTTTTGTTTTCTCCTTTGCAAGAACTTAACTTATAATTAAAAAAACATATATGTACATATTTACATACTCTTTCTAACATGTTCTATGTATGTCCTTCAGGTTGCTGAATGTCATTTAGAGGGGCGAGAAGTTATGATGATAACAAGTGGAGCTGTGGCCTTTGGTAGTCAAAAACTAGCACAGGAATTGCTTATGTCACTTTCGATGCGTGAGACCCTTTCGCCAAAAGATCATACACGTGGAGTAAATGGAGTATGTACATATTTTTTCGCCGTGTATAAATTTTAATTTATTTTCAGGAACACGGTACACTGCTGGAACCGAGAGCGGCAGCGGCTGTGGGTCAATCTGGACTTATGTCACTGTACGATGCCATGTTCGCTCAGTACGGTGTCAAAATTGCTCAGGTATAATTAATAATGAAACGACTTTGGAAAATGTTTTTTGATTTTACTTTATTGTAGGTTCTGGTAACAAAACCCGATTTCTACAATGAAGAAACTCGTAATAATTTATTTTGCACACTCTCCGAACTGATTAGTCTTAACATTGTGCCCATCATCAACACTAACGATGCCGTTTCCCCGCCAATGTTCTTAAAAGACGATGATCTGCCAGTTGGCTCCAAGAAGGTAATATAAGATTTGGAAGAAAGAAAATAATTAGCCGCTTTAATCACAAAGCATTCATAATAACTTTTCGCATTTAAGGGCATAGCAATCAAAGACAATGACAGCTTATCCGCCATGCTTTCGGCAGAGGTTCAGGCTGATCTACTGATTTTGATGTCAGATGTTGATGGTATTTACAACAAACCGCCATGGGAAGATGGTGCTAAGCTGATGCATACCTATACCTCAAATGATCGTCATGTCATAGAGTTCGGCAAAAAATCTAAGGTGAGTTGCCTGCAAAACCTAACCTTAATTTTTTTTCTGAATGTCAAAATCACTGATGTAAATAATGGTTACATCGTGGAAAATCATAAAATAGTTAAGATTTTATTGATTAGTACATATGTACATATGTAAGTAAACATAAGAATCCAACATCTGTTTAATCGTTTTCAGGTCGGTACCGGTGGTATGGACTCAAAGGTAAAAGCAGCTACTTGGGCGCTGGATCGTGGTGTTAGTGTTATTATATGCAACGGTATGCAGGAGAAGGCCATTAAAACCATAATAGCCGGACGAAAAGTGGGCACATTTTTCACGGAGTCAACAGAGGGTTTCTCGACTCCAGTCGATGTTCTAGCCGAAAATGGTAAGTGAAGGATAAGCAAAAAAGGAGCGCACCCATGTGCTTTATACACCCAAGAGAGCTATTTTTTTTCTCCAGTGTGATCAAGCCGTTAGTTCTATCGACTCCGATCATTAAAAAGGGCGATTTTTTAAGATCTATAGGAAAGTTTTCAAAAAAAAAAAACATAACGTTCAGAAAAATGCTTGAAATCCTTATTTGAATCGATATATAATGTAATGTTAGCAGGTTATTTAGTACAAATAATAACTGGGACTGCGCCTCAAATGGTCCATCCGCTTAGTCCAATTTTGGCATACTCTTTCAAACATTTCGGCCGGTATTTCACGAATAAATGCTTCAATGTTGTCCTCCAATGCATCAATTGAAGCGGGCTTGTCCATATAGACATTAGGTTTAAGTTGGAGAGCTTTCATCCATTCGTACGTCATGACTTAGCCAGCGTAACCGCTAAGTTTTTACAGCTCATCGCTTCATCGCCTCCTGTATTCGCAAAACTTTTCTCTCGAAGACTCCCAGAGCCGACTCATCAGCTGTTGACTTCGTCCACACCTCTGTGCCATATAGCAGGGTGGGTATCATGAGCTACTTGTAGAGTCAGGTTTTCGTTCGCCGAGAGAGGACTTTAGTTTTCAATTGCCTACTCAGTACAAAGTAGCACCTGTTGGCAAGAGTGATTCTGCGTTGGATTTTAAATCTGACATTATTGTTGGTGTTGATGCTGGTCTCTACATAGACGAAATTATCCATGACCTCGAAGTTATGACTGTCAACAGTGACGTGGCAGGCGAGTCGTGAATGCGACTGTTTGTTTGATGACGGGAGATATTTCGTCTTGTCCTCGTTAAACACCATACCCATTCGCTTCGCTTCTTTACCCAGTCTGGAGAAAGCAGAATTCAATACTGTCAATATCATCGGCGCACGCCTTCTCTATTCCGATTTGCCGCTCTTCTTATTTGCTCCTGCACTAAATTAAAGAAATCACACGATAAAAAAACACCCTGTGTGAAACCTCGTTTAGTATCGAACGGCTCGTAGAGGCCCTTCCATATTTTGACAGCGCTTCTGGTGTTGTCCATCGTCAGTTTACACAGCCGCATAAGTTTTGCGGGGATACCGAATTCAGGCATAGCGACGCAACGGCAGCTCCTTACTGTGCTGTCGAATGCAGTCTTAATTAACCTCTTAATAAACAAAAGAACTGAGAATTTACACCATGTTTACAAAATGCAAACATTTACGTCAAAACTTAACTTAATATAAATATATGTACATATCTTTCTACATTTCTTCCGGTGTTTAATTAGAATTTGCAATTTATGTTAATTAATTACACACAATAAATAAATAAAGTTGTTGTAGATGGAACACACCCACCCTTAATATATACATATGTATGAGCATATGAGCTTGTATAAAGAAAAATTATAACACTTAACTTTATTTAAATTATTTTCAGAATATTTTGACCGAAAAACGTAAACGAGCCACCTTCACTGAACGCAGCCAACTTAAGTATGCACGTCGTCTTGTCGTCAAACTTGGAAGTGCTGTTATTACAAGGGAAGATAATCATGGCCTTGCCTTAGGTCGACTGGCCTCCATTGTGGAGCAGGTTAGTAGTCATAAAAATTACAAGTAAGTTTATACACAAAGTANAACTCTACAAGTCGCTCATCGTACCCGCCCTACTAAATGGCACAGAGGTATTGACGATGTCAACAGCTGATGAGTCGGCTTTGGGAGTCTTCCAGAGAAAAGTTTTGCGAAAGATTTATGGTCCTTTGCGCATTGGCAACGACGAATACCGCAGTCGATGGAACTAAAGTTCAGAGAATGAAGATACAGCGGCTACGCTGGCAAGGTCATGTCTTCCGATTGGATGAAAGCACTCCAGCTTTGAAAATATTCGATGCCGTATCTTATGAAGACCTCCATTCCGTTGAAAGTATCAGGTGGAGAGTGACCTGGTTTCACTTAGTATTTCCAACTGGGAAGAGAGGAACGGTGCGCTAATATTCATTCGGATATAATCGCGTGAGCGGTGGCTACGCCACTAAAAAAGATGAACATGGTATCATACTGACCAATCCAAGATTGATCATCTGTTACAATGTGGTTGTAAATTTCATTCAAATCACCTTCACACAACTCCAAAAAATCTTTACAACTCTCCAATCGTCGTGATTTGTCGAGCGGCCTGAGCATTCGCGGTACTCAACGCGCACTTATTTTTATCTTATTGAGATTTTTTCATACAAAATTTCTCAGGCTCATTCCTTGCTAATCTGTATTCCTTCTGGTATCTGCCACAATTTAATTCTTCAATCAACCAGTATTAATTTTCCGACTTTCTGTACATTTTTTCCGGTCACGAAAGTTAGTGGGCGCCCCGGTTGTCATCTTCGCAAGTCTCCCTTCCTGGTTGAAACAGTTGAACCCATTTTTTCACCATCGTAAATGATGGTGCAGAGTCCTGAAGAACCGATGACATTTCCGCGTACCTCCAATTTTAAAAGAAATTTTATTTCCGAATTTCAAGAATTTCCAGATTCCGTTGACATAGTGTTTTTGGTTGTTCCAAAATGTATCTAATAAAAAAAGTTGTGTTATTTATTCTAATAATGAGTGCCGCAATTAGGGTTATCAGCAATGATATGATGTGTCATCTCTAACTACCTTAGGTCGCGACATTATCAGCCGCCCCTACTAAAAGAAAATTCTGACTGTGTTCTTTTGTTCTATAGGACAATCGCAGTTTCATCCGACAACCATTTATTTATTTTAGTGCGAAGATAAGTATCAAATTAATGTTGGTGATCACAACATTCACATCCCCCATCCCCTGCCAGAGATTCGCACGTTTGCATGTGTATCCTAGGTGAACAAAGTGCATTTGTGATTGTGTTTCTGCTTGGGTTTTACTCTACGGTGATTTTCATAATGCAAGTTTACATATCCAAGCATAATAAAGCACCTCAGTTGTTGCACATTTTTATATATAATGTATGTATATATGTGCATATGTATGTATTTTTTTACGATTTACGACACCATTTGGCAGCCACAATTGGTTTAACGCTTTCTCTATTTTATTTGGATTCTACACAACGAATATTATTACTCACTCTTGGCGTGGTGCTTTTGGCTTTTGCAGCGCGTGTTGGCAGCAGACAGATGCAAGCACTCAGTCCGGAGCAACGTGCCAATGCAGTTAACCATTTGGCTGATTTATTGTTGAGCAGAGAGGAATTTATTTTGCAAGCGAATGCAAAGGACTTAGCTGAGGCGAAACGCCACGGTCTTGCGAAGCCACTATTGTCACGTCTGTCTTTAAATTCCGCTAAATTGAAGAACCTGTCCATTGGATTGAAGCAGATTGCTGAATCAAGTCACAAGGTGAGCGCTTTGTTTTCTTATTCATATGAGATTTGGCGCGATTGCATAAACGAGCAAAATACCGCATGAATTATGGGGAAATTTGTAAATGTTTTGCTTTTAGAATGTTGGTCGTGTATTGCGACACACTCGCTTAGCTGAAAATCTGGAATTGAAGCAGGTTACAGTACCGATTGGTGTTCTGCTGGTGATATTTGAATCACGTCCGGACTCACTGCCTCAAGTAGCTGCATTGGCTATGGCCTCCGCCAATGGCCTCCTACTCAAGGGTGGTAAAGAAGCCTCGCACAGCAATAAGGCTTTAATGGAATTAGTGAAGGAGGCACTCTCGACAGTAGGAGCGGAAAATGCAGTTTCCCTAGTAAGTTGAAGTCAATGATTTTATTTTGGTACTTTTGTTGATAGCTACAGCTCAAAATTCCTAATATTGTGATATTTATTATCTGAGTTAAAAATACAAGTATTATTTACTTGATTTTAGGTATCAACTCGTGAAGAAATTAGTGATCTTTTGTCAATGGAAGATCACATTGATTTAATAATACCTCGTGGCTCATCAGAGCTCGTGCGCAACATTCAAGAACAATCCGTCCATATACCAGTTTTGGGGCACGCTGAAGGTATCTGCCATGTTTTCATCGATAAAGACGGCGATATACAAAAAGCACTTAAAATAGTTAGAGACGCGAAATGTGATTATCCAGCAGGTATGTACTTTTTTGTATTCCCATTTTTTTCAGCTAAAAAAAATGGTCGATTCTACAAGGATTCTTTAAGCGAAAAATACAAAAGTCAATGGAGTGGTTGAATATTGCTCCCGTCTGTCCAAGATAATAACGACTTTTCCCCCACATATTCACTGCACGAAAATTACAGCTTCAACCTGCAGAATCCTCAGCCACCCTTTTCTCTAGCTGAGCTGAGGAGTACCGATGGCTTAAAAATTACGACATTTGACTGACCGTCACTGGGAGTCTCATCCAATAGCCTTTACTTCTTCACTCCGCCTATAGCTGCAATTAACCCAAAGGTACACAGATGCAATAAAATTCTCAACAAGGCCATTGGCCGGACGGTCGTGATGTTGTCTATGACAGATAACCTCCTGATGTCGCCAGAGCATCACATGTTGCAGCGAAGCTTAAATGCTTTGCAAGCACTGTGTTAGGATGCTTCTGTAGGAAGCATGAAATAAAGAGTTTCTCATAAAAATGCGGAGGTGACCTGAGACTGCAGGGTGTCAACGTTTGTAGGAAAACATTTAAGTTTAGTTCACTTAAGAAGTTGTAATTCCCCAATTAATTTATTTAGTGTTTTTTTTTATATATGCACATACGTATAAAATTTTAGTTAGGTGGGAATACTTAGCCAAAAGTCCGCGTTGAAGTCATCACAGATTATGTTGACCTTGTGGAGAAGGAATAATTGAATTAACTTTTACTACTTTCAATTGAAAAATAATTGCAGCTCATACATATCTACAAAAGTATGTAGCATACAATACATATGTACATACATATATTCGAATAATATCATGAATACAGTATTTACCGCGACGCCGTCAAAGTGCTAAAAGTAACAAATTTCAAATTGCAAATATTATAAGATCCTTTGTATCAGTAAAGCTGTTCAGCTTTGTATACAAATAGTGTAATATTTATAAAGAAATGACATGCATGCATATGATTACAGTTATGCCATTTTTCACAATTATGTCTTTTAAATTGTCAACACAATTTCCATATAATCAAAAATTTTGTAAGCACTTCATTACGGTCGTTCATTCTACGTCCTAGTATGTGTGTATATGTACTTGTATTTGCAAGTGCATATGTGAATGCAAACATATATACACTTGCAACATTCACTCCACGTTGACTGCGGGCCGACTTTCATTACCATCCATGCAGAAAACTCAAGCCACATTTACTAGACCAGCCATCTTTCCATGCTGCGTCTCACTTTCATTTTCTCAGATACATATATGGACATACTTACACTTATACGAGGGGCTTAACAAAAGTTCGATAATTGACCAGAAAAAAAGATTATCCCTTCTACATAATCGCCATTGATTTCAATGCATTTCTTAAGCCTATAGATCGACTTCTGAAACTGAAAACAGTCTTCAAAATATTGCTTTTTAAGCTTATCCAGTTCAACATGAACCGCATTAATTATTTCTCGTTGTTATTCAAGACCTATTCCTTAATTTCTTTTTGGAAATAACTAGAAATCACAAGGTGCTATATCGGAGGAATATGGCAGCAGTGTGGGTTAGCGCATTGTTGTGATGTAAAAAGTAGCGTCGCAAATACTCTTTCTTTCTGTTTTCCAACAAATTTTTTTAAACGTTTGGTAAGCACTCTTCGGAGTACCATTTTGCTGTTACTGTCTGACCCTTTTCCAGCGGAATAGCAGCTATGATTTTAGATCGGATCAATTAAACTGGCATCATTACTCTTGCTGCTGATTTTTTTTCCTNACGCATTACAACATTTTCAACGTTTTGGAATATATCAATTATGCTGAAAAAATGTGTTACTACAATATAATTGAATTCCATTCGCTTGGAATATTCTACGGAAAAGTTGGAAAGTTTCGTTTTGCCGTTTCACAGGTAGTTGAGCGTTCGCGCGCTGACTCGAATATATCGTTACACACGGGGAATGTTAGCCGGGTGGTTAGCTTTGCGTAATTCCATTCGGTAGGCCGGGGTTCATTATATAGATATTACAGAAAATTGTTTTGGACAAAAAATTAATTTTAATTTTTTAATTGCGGTCGCCCAATCACATGGCGAATTTCTGCTTGCGTTGGTGGTGGAATTTCGGCTGCCCTATCCTCAGCTATCGTTTTCTAGTCTCTATTTTAACCGAGTGTTCCAAAATTTGAACGGAAGTCTAACAAAGTAATTGCAAACAAATTGAATCCCCTCGTACACACATACATATTCGAATATTGCATGCGAGCTGTGCATAATTGAAATTGAATGGTTGTCTGCCAAGAGTATTCCTTCGATGAAAATATACTCTATTATACTACATACATATCTTTATGTAAGTAGACATAAAGTTGCTTCAAATAAGTTAAGACTTCCAAATACTTCCTTTCTCGAATTGCTCGAGTATCCGACACAATTTTCGTTATTCACATCTTTTCAGCCCTGAGATAAGCTCCAAATGGACAAAAGATACTTATGAGCTATGATGAGTGAGAACCAAATTTCTCAGTTTTCATATTGGTTCGAAGAANATCGTTTCATATGCAATTTGGCATTCACTGAATATTTGTTTTGGGTGTAAATTACGCCGAAACCCGAAGAGAATCACAGCGAATTTCTGCTTGCGTTGGTGGTGGAATTTCGGCTGACCTATTCTCAGTTATCGTTTTCTAGTCTCTATTTCAGCCGAGTGAACGGAAGTCTAACAAAGTAATTGCAAAGAAATTGAATCCAATCGTACATACATACATATTGGAATATTGCATGCGAGCTGTGCATAATTGAAATTGAATAGTTGGCTGCCAAGAGTATTCCTTCTATGAAAATATACTCTATTATACTACATACATATCTTTATGTATGTACACATAAAGTTGCTTCAAATAAGTTAAAAATTCCAATACATATATACACTTACGCATGTGTGTAAACTATCACCTCAATTTTCCCTTACTTAATAAGTTGTTATACTCTGGGGGACGGTCTTTAGGACTACATACATTTTGATCATCTTATAATCTTATAACATGATTTTTAGGATTGCTGGCGCTGTTTCTTTTCATTCATGACGCACTCGCATAGACAGTGCTCCAGAGTTCTATGCATAATGCTCTGCACGCTGATTCAACCTTACCTAATTTTTTGAAAACTTAAATGCCGTTTCTTCGTTTTGTTTGCTTCTTCTTCACCATTTCTCCGCTTCCCGCGGCGATTACTGCATTGAATACTTTCATTTACTCGGAAAACATGGCTAAGCCGACGTAGCCGCTGTCTCTTCATTCGCATTCGCGTATAAGTAAGTTCCAGACGCTCGTAGAAAACATCCTTGTTCACATCGTTTTTTTTTTTCGGCGCAGCACAGGCGCGAATCAGCGGTAGTGGAGATCTGCTTGAAACATATGTAAAATAATCGTTTCTGGTCCTTCCAATGTGAAGGGAAGGTCAATTAAAAGTTTGGTGTGCCTGCGATCCACGTACCAACGTCGGTAATGCTCCAGGAACTTAAGTGTTGTTCTTGGCTAATTTGCCCGGAAGATACCCGCCGGATTCGTCCTATGCGTTACATTATAAATCCTCCTAAAAAGGAGTTTATCTTGATAGTCTGTTAATTGCATCTTTTAATATCCTCACGCTTTGGAACTTTGTGCTGACACATTTAATTGCCTCAATTTCCTTCTTAAAGCGGAGGCCATTTTAATTATATTATATCAGAGAAGATGCATATATCAGCACTATTATTGATAGCTTTGCCTACCGGCAAGAAACACGCGGCTTGCATCTGGCATATAGGGTCCTTTTCTTGGTAACTTTTCATGTTTAGTCTCAGTTCTCTTATATTTGTCTGTAGGCTGGCATCTCCTTTCTGACAGCTAGCTAGCGGAGCCGCTATAGCCGAGTGGTTAGCATTGCGTACTGCCATTCTGAACACCAGGCTACGGTTCCTGGTTCGACCAACATCAATAATTATGGAAAATAAATTTGTTCTAATTGCGGTCGCCCTTCTGCAGAGATTGCCAAGCTCTCTGAGCGCATTTATAACATGGAATAAAAGCTCCTCATAAGAATCCATTGGTCAGTGTCGACTCAGAATATATTGCTGGTCGCTACCAGCACACTTAGGCCAATAGGTGCATTGTGATACCGCTGACGCTCCTGCCTTCACCTTCTCAAATGATCGAACCATTTCTTGTGCTTTTTAAATTCGCTGAGCTCCATTAAATGGTTTCTAGTTATTATGCCCGTCGTTATGTTAATGGAGAACCGGTCTAGAAGGATTGATTTATTCTCGTCCAACTTCGGCTATAGATGTCTTGTCACATTGCAAGTAATCTCGTTCAACCATCTTGAGTAAATTTCCCTCGTAAATGACAGTTTAAACATGTGCCATGGACACAGGTAAACCATTAGTGTCTTTATGTTTTATCGTGGGTAGAAGGATTATTTCCCTTGCAACCAATCAGCGGCCTCCATGATTACAAAGAAATCCTCCACTTTTTGGAAAAAATCAAGACGCTTACCATACCACTCGGCTGAAAATCACTTCAGCGGTAACAACTATATCTACCAATCAGATACATTGCACCCTAAAGGTTTCCATAGGTTCGATTTAGTGTTTCTCTGCATACTAAACTTAAAAAATTAGTATGGCTCTGCCACCATTGGTAGTATTTCCGAACTTTGGTCCTCGTTTCAATGTGTTAGTTGAAGTTTTTTTTTAACAGAAATCGTTCCAAGATTGACTGAGTTGTAGGCTATTGCCTTGGTTTTTTTTTGGGGCTGTGAATAGAAAAAATCTATTATATAAGAGCTAAACAGCTTCTTCGGATATTCAATGCTTTCAACAAAAATTACTTTACGCTGGAACTTTGATCATTGACAAAAATCGAATGACAATAGCCAATCGCTGTGTAACTTACTTTTGATTCCAAAACTATTATTCCAACTTCTTTGACGTTCGCTTCCATTCTCGAATTGCTCGAGCATCTGACACAAATTTTGGTTATTCACATCTTTTCAGCCCTGAGCTATGATTTCCTATCAGAGATAAGTGAGAACCAAATTTCTCAGTATTCATATTGGGTCGAACAACTTCACCAAAGCTCAATCATATTTAAAGAATTTAATTACAATATTCCGTTGCATCCGAGGCTAATTTCGACTTACTTGTCTACATTAACTATCATTGAACTCTACTCTATTTATCCTGTTTTCCGTTTTTATCATTTCAGCTTGTAATGCCATGGAGACGCTCCTCATTCATGAGGACCTAATGAATGGGGGCATCTTCAACGATGTCTGTAACATGTTGAAACGTGAGGGCGTTAAAATCTATTCAGGACCAAAACTTAGCCAGCAGTTAACCTTTGGGCCACCTGTAGCGAAGAGTCTCAAGCATGAATATGGTGCGCTGGAATGTTGCATTGAGATTGTTAAGGATATCAATGAAGCAATAGACCACATACATACATATGGCAGCGGACATACCGATGTCATTGTCACCGAAAACGGTAAGTTGAACAACAACATAGGATGTGGATAATTACTCAACCCATTTAGTTGCGTTGTCTGTTAATTAGTTATTTAAAACATTAGCTCAACGTCAAGGGAAAAGACTTACAAATATCCAAAATGGGTGAAGGAATGTATTGGAAAAATATTTTGCTGCTAATAATTTATTTTGAGCGTCATTTTACAACAGCTTTAAAATAAGCTAAAAATATAAAAATAAAGTTTATTACTGAGAGTTTTCTCTTGAGTAATAAAAGGAAAATAATATTAAAGGCATTTATCAAAATATAATATTATATATGCCATTTTCGTCTTTTGCAAAATGTAGAAATTGAAGAGGGTTACTGGTAAACTCTTCGTTCGGTTTGACATGTTTTGGGTTTTGTCAACTCAGGTTGTTTTCATACTTTGAAAGTTTGTAAATTTAAAATTGAGAAGAGAAAGCCAGGCGTTGGTGAATTCTACGCATTCAACTGTTTCCTGAGCATTGTACAGAGATTCACAGAGATACTGCATTCTTTCCGTTAATTTTAAGGTGTCATAACGTTAGAATAAAGATTGACATAGTAAAAGTCTTCAACTCTTATCACTAGGATCTTCTCCTCTTGCTACAATGAACTCTTATTCTCCTTCCTGAATGACTAACAGATCAAGCCAAACCCTAAATCACTGGAATTCGGTACATAGATAAATTGACAAGGGAATCACTCTTTCTTATGATATGGAAACCCGGTGCTGATTTATTTGAAACCTATTGAATTTATCCTTTGGTTTACATAAAATTTGCTAATGTCATAGCCTTGAGCTCATATAACGATTGAGAACACATTTTCTTCCGGGAGGTGGGCACATGAACGACCTATTCGAAAGCATCGAATTTGCTTTTCAATCGTTTGATTTACATGAAATTTGATATATAGGTCACCCTCTCCCTAAACAGACTGCGGGAATGTTAGCTGAGTGGTTAGCTTTGCGTAATTCCATTCGGTAGGCCAGGGTTCATTATAAAGATATTACAGAAAATTGTTTTAAACTAAAAATTAAGTAAAATTTTCTAATTGCGGTCGCCCCTCGGCAGGGAAAGTCAACCCCTCGGAGCCGTTCGGAGGCGGCTTAGTAAAAACTGCATGTTCCTCTATTTGTTGGAAAAACATCAAGACGCAAACTACAATTTAGAGGAGGGGTTCGGACGCAAATCGCTTCGATATGTATAAATAATTTATACATAATTTAATAATTTCTTCCGAGAATCGGGGCTGCAATCGATTGGATGGTTCGGCTTAGTAATAGTTTAGAAGTTATAATAATATTAATAATATAATAAACCTAATAAATCTTATTAGAACCATTATAAGTTTCGATGTGGATGAAGTCGCGGACAAATTTTAGTGTATTATAATTGAAGGGATCCATTTACAGCCGAATCAGGAAGAGCCCGCCAGTCATTTTATAGTTTCGCCCATCGTCGCCAATTGGAAGTGCTAAGTGAAACCAGTTCACTCTCCGCTTGATACTCGCAATGGAGATGAGGTCTTCATCCAAAGATGGAGAGTTGACAAATATTCGAAAAACATGATCTAACTAGCAGAGCCGCTATTCGCATTATTCGCTAAGACTTGTCAATATCGCCGTATAATTCATACTACCGTATTCGTCTTTGCAAATGCGTACTGGAAATATTCTTCTTTCGAAAACTCTTAATGCCGGCTCAGACAGAAGTGGAAAGCGATCTGTACAGCTGGACTAGCCGACATTAATCCACTTTTGAAATATTTATGGAACAAAGCTCCATAGCACGAGTTCGATGGTACTATTTTTACTTAATTTTTCGACACAGGAAATAACTTGACAAATCGTTTCAAAATGCAATTTGCTTACAATAAAATTTTAATATGATAGCATTTTCGAAAGTTCTCTCGGAAAGATTTTGTGTTTCTTACAGGAAAGAACTTCACTTTCAGTCACTTATAGTAATATTCTTGTGGATAGTGATTGCTGAAAGCTGGTTGGTACTCATTGGGCTGGTCATAATGTTTCTTCAACAGTTAGATCGAATTCTAATCGCTTTGGACTTTGCACTATCGGCCTGCTTAATTAATACAATAAATATAAGATTGAAATATACATTTTTGGACAAAAAATTTCCAAACAGCTGATAGAAAATGTGTCATAGTTTTTGTTACACGCAGCTGGGAAGAGGGATACATTTGAATCGGTATTTTTTTCTCATTATCTTTACCTTAACTTCTCTTCTTTTGAATTGATTCTATTAATTCTACTCTTTATTTGATAATTAAAATAGTTTTGCTGCAGTAAATTTTCACAGATATTTTCCTACAAAGGCTTACCATTTGTTTCACAATAGACATGAGCAACGATTCAGTAATTACTCATTTTATCGATAACTGCCATTTATCGAGTTTGAGCTTTTCATTTGTTTTGCAAAGATGCTAAACTTTTATTTTAAATAACTCGTTTTTAATGTAAAATAAAACTTTTTTTGTACTTGCTTACCAAAACGTTCCGGTTTTGATGAATAAACACACATACACGAGTATGTACGTATGTATATGTATAAATATCCAAAAAATACATTTCATTAAGTACTTTTCCACGCATTACAACATTTTCAACGTTTTGGAATATATCTATTTTGCTGAAAAAATGTGTTACTACAATATAATTGAATTCCATTCGCTTGGAATATTCTGTGGAAAAGTTGGAGAGATTTGTTTTGCAGTTTCACAGGTAGTTGAGCGTTCGCGCGCTGACTCGAATATATCGTTACACACATATACATGGTATCGTATATACCATGAAGGCATAAACCAGTTAGTGTAAATATTGAAAAAGTTTAAATTGTTTTACGTACATTCAAAAATTTAAAATTACAACGCAAACACTGTCATGGATGCATCCCTTAGATATGTATGTGTATAACTGTGTACGTGCATTGCAAAATATACTCATGAAAGACACAGCTTTTAGTCAGTAGACCACATGAAGCTTTTTTTTTTCACCGCTGCAACAACAACAAGTCCTTTTTACCATTACAACAACAAGACGATCTTTTCACCCAACTTACTTCACTTTGTACTCTTTTGGGAAATTATTTTATTTAATTTTGTTCTATTTTATTTTTTATTTTTTTGTAGATTCTGCCGCACAACAGTTTCTGGCGTCGGTTGACAGCGCTTGTGTTTTTCATAATGCAAGTTCTCGCTTTGCGGATGGCTTCAGGTTCGGTTTGGGTGCTGAGGTGGGCATATCAACGGCGAGAATACACGCACGCGGACCAGTTGGTGTTGAGGGACTTCTAACAACTAAGTGGGTTTTGCGCGGTGAGGATCATACTGCAGCCGATTTTGTGGAAGGCGGTAAACGAGTTTGGTTGCACGAGTCCTTGCCGTTATGAACTCGGAATTCGTTGAAAATTAATTTTATACGTAAATTATTAATATTCTTTATGTCTTTTGTACGTCTTGGAAGAAATTAAATATAATGCTATTGGTATATGTACATATGTAAACTAAATTAAATTTGTTTTGATTTTTTTTTTTAATGATACAAAGTGCTTAAGTAGTCACAAGGGTACTCAATCTTATCAACTCAGTGTGCGTGAAGTGCGTAGGCCATTTTTGACTCTAAACGACTAAAATCAATTTATGTTAATTTGTATATAATATGCTTACAGTTGCTGTCAAAATAATAGCCCCACTATAGGTATTTAATTGCTTATTATTCTCCATAACTTTACAGTCCCGTTACTAGAATTATGATCTCTCAGTATTTATTTTAAAATAATTTCATTCAATTGGAACGGTCAAAATAAAAGCAGCAATAATATACATACATAAATTTATAAATTTAAATAAAGGTCACAAAATTTGACAAATATTTTTCTAAAATCATTTAAAACATCTTTATTACTCACAATAAGTTTTAAAGAAATTTGACGCTCTCAAGGCGTGCTAAACACTTTATAGTCGAAAAACGTGATTTAATAAAAAAAAAACTAATTTCGGAGACGAAAATATAATCTCAAGTTCGAAATATTCTTGTTTGCTCAAATAAAATAATACGAATGGAATTATTTTTCAATTTAAAGCCGAAACACGTGGACGAAAAACAATAACAGCACATGCAATAGTCAGTCGCATGGTACGGGAAATAAAAAAAATTCATGCCAGCTTAAGAAGTGAAAAAGGAATTAGATCTACCGATAAGCACTGAGACTATATGGAGGAGACTTAGGTGATATTATCTAAGAGCCCACAATCCTCTTTTGACAAACAGGCCTGTGTCCAAACGGTTGCAGTTTGCTAAAAATCACAATTCTAACCAAATGGAAAGTGGTGTAATATTCTGTGGACAGATGAGTCCAAAGTAATTTTATTTGGTGGAAAAGGTTCTCGTTCCTATGTTGGAAGAGCACCAAAGACTATAAAACATGGCGGTTCCAGAATCATGATATGAGGTTGATTTTCATACTACGGTGTTGGGCCTATTCACCGCATAAATAAAATCATGGATGCGACAGAATACATCAAAAACTCGTTGTTGTTGAGAAAACCGTATTCGACTAATAATCTTGATCTTTAGGGCAAGTGCAAGCGGCCTGGTTCTCCATTTTCAGGAATGTCAGAGCTTGGTCAATTCCATGTGGAAAATATTGTAACCGCCTTAGGTCCAAAAAAATTTCCAGGAGACGAGCATATCTTACCAAAAATGCTAAAAAAAAAACTGCCAAACATTTCTCTTGTTTTTCTTACAACGCTTGCCATATTAAAACTGGGATATTATCCATAAAGTCGCAGATATTTATGATAGCTAAACCAGGTAAAGACGAAACGTTGCCATTATCATATAGATCAATCAGCCTGATGCCTTGCCTATACAAACTTTTTGAAAAAGTGCTGCTATCAAAAATTACTCCTTTCCCCATAGAAATGATATTATTCCAGCGAAAAAACATGGCACAATTGAACAAGTAAATCGCATTATTAATAAAATAAGAAAAACTTGCGAATTCCGATAGTGTTGCTGGGCTATTTATCTTGACGTAGCTCAAGCATGGCATTTCAACAAGGGTTCTGGATTTAACCTTAACAACAAAGTCTTTTTTTATAATGGATGTATTGTATGTAGTGATGGGGTAGCTTGCGCGACGAATAGGTTTATATATAATTGGCCCTTTGTAATCGCTGAGACGATTTTCAGCCGTGCTCCTTCTTCGATTCGTGGTTTTGCTAATGTTTTTAAAAAAGCTCCGTAAATAAGGACTGTTTACACCAACGGCTCAAATATAACAGGCCACCCTAATGTGCAGTAACTCTAGATGCATATACCTTTACATATGCATAAGTAACAGAGAATTCTTATACAAGAAAGAAACGGTCTTTCACCACCAAATTAAAAAAAAAACTTTGTTTTAATCTTTTCTTTTGAGATTTCAAACGGTAAGCCTCAGTCAATGCGTCATTTCAAGTGAAATTCTTATTTTATATATATAATTATATATTTTTTATTTTTTTTGCTAATTATATCACTCTTCAGGGAGTATTTGTATACATTTTTTTGTCAATAAAACTGTTTTGTACGTTGCATTTATTTTATTTTTAATTGTTTTACATGCGAGCGCCGATATCGCAAGACGCCCATACTTAAATAAACACCAACCAACCGATTATGTCGGCATGTATTATATGCGGGATTTTCGGCCGAGCGTATTCTCAGTATTGGGTGTCATGACGAATTCTCAAAAAAATTGTGTTGGTTTAAATAAACTTGAAGTAATCGCTTTAGAAGGTCCAATCAAAGCATTGCTCGAAAAAAACGTATTCTACAAACTTTACGCGTAACTGGCACAATGGAGCTATATTTAATATTGATATCATCTCACGGTAGCGCTCACCATTCACAGTTACGTTACGATTCGCATCATCTACCTATATAAATATATAGGGGTCTGGCCAGACACCAGGTGTCGGACGAAAGTATATAAAGTGTGGTGTCGGACGGAGGATTAACAGAGCACGCATTTTGATAATAAAATTCAATAATTTGCGAGCGTTGTTCGTTTGTAAGACGATTCATGGTTAAGTTATACACCAAACTGAAGATGTTTGACGTCACCTGTTTAAACAAGTGTTGCCAAAAAGATAATAAAAAATCGCCCTTTATTAAAGATCTTTATATCCAGGCTCTCAGAATCTTTTCTGCTACTCTTTTACTACCGTAAGTAAGAGGGTATTTAAGGACAAAAAAATTCAAAAACATTATTATTATATTAAAAGCTCGAAATGCACACAGGAAACTTGAACATGAAATTATATTTATTATATTAATATTATTATTATTATATTAATGGACAACGTGAAGAGGTTTTTAATGAGAGTGATATGATTTGTAAGTGTCGTCCTGGCCATTTTTAATCTGTCATTTTTTTCATTGTATTCAGTAATGTTTAAAATTTTATCATGGCAAGATATACACAGGAACAATGTTTAAAAACAACAACAACTTGAAAACTGTAACGATTTTTTTAAGAAAAGCAATTTCCTTTTAAATTCACAATTGAACAAAACTGTCGATTCTAGTGCGAAGAAAATCCATAAATTATTCATTAATAACCATTACATTCACCTAAATTGACAGTTTGGTGTGGTTTATGGTCTAGTGAAATCATCAGTCCGAATTTTTTCCGAAATGAATCTGGTAGCACCGTTATTGTCAATAGAGAGCAGTATAGATCGATGATAACCAACCAACCAAGCAATCAAAGGTTTGCAGATTCAATTATTTCAAGAAATTGTGACATTGAATGGCCTTCAAGAAGATGTGATTTAACATCATTGGATTACCTCTTGTGGGGTTTTTGAAGTCATTGGTCTTTACCAATAAACCAAACTCTCTTCAAGCATTAAAAGCGAATATTGAACGTACTATTCACGATTTACAGGCTTGATTTAGTGGAAAAAGTGCTCAAAAATTGGGTGCATTGAATTCGTTGCTGCAAAAGAAGTCACGGAGACCATTTGAATTATGTTATATTCAGAACTTAATTTTTTCGATTGTACTTACCAATAAATAAAAAACATTGCTACTCAATTTTAAAAACTCCTCAAAATAGACTCATTTGGTGGCTGATGCCCAACCACTTCAACCTAACCTAGCCTATTTGAAAGATATTTTTTTTTCAATTTTTTCTTTTCAAAGACAAAATTGTTAGCTGGACGAGTTGCATTCACCGTAACTTACTTATTATTACGACTGCCGGGTTACAAAGCACTAATTCTATGAAGTAGTTTCACCTTAAAATTTTTGACGCAAAAGTGATCGCTTAGAATTTTTGATCTTGCCCCTTATAAGATATTCAACTTGGAGATTTTCCAATTATTATTGGGTTTAATTTCATATCAGAAACTTTTTATAATAATGTAAACTAGTATGTACATAGGACTATACAAAATATTGCCTTCAAGCGGTTTTCCTTAGGTGCGAGAAGTAAGACATTTTTATTTAAGAGTTGAAAATCTTTTTTGTTTTTGGAAATTCCTAAATTTTAAATATCAATGTATTCAGCGGTAAGAATTGTTGAGAGATATTTAAGGACTTGTATCGAATTTATGAAATTTTTCAAACCACAAAAAATTTTCAGCACTTTCAATAGCTAATAAATTATTAAAACAATATCCTTTCTTTTTTTTAAGCATTTGAAGCTTTTATTTAATCTGTCTTCTTAAAAAATTAAAATTTAGTAAAATGTACTTAAAACTTATGGACTAGTGTGTCTTCAAAAGGGCAGGCGAAAACACCTATTTTGCATGAAACTAAATTTGGGTAGATCTATCTCTCCGCTTTTGATACATTTATGCGACTTCCCACATATCTAATGCAATGGTAATGAAAAGCACGAAAATGATAGATAGCTGTGTAGTCGACTGCGAAGAGAAAATGAAACTACTTTTAAATTATTGTATCATGCTACAAAGCATTCATTCAATCAGGATCAAATTTAAATTCTCTTTATATAAAAGCATTTTAAACTATCGTTTCGTTACTCTTCGGCACTGCTTTATCGACTATTAAAGCGCATGCCCCGGTTTCATTAACTTCCTTATTTGAGAAAGCATTGGCCACAAAACTGCCAGAAGTTAAAATACATTTCAGTTTCAGTTTGTACGTTGCTATGATGAAACTGCTATAATGAAAGTTCGATCTTATTTTACATATGTATGTACATAGTTACGTACATACATACACGTATAAGGAAAATACGAGGTGTTATGCGTATGAAACTCTACATTCTTGGACTACTGCACAACTTGTTGCTTGAGAGTGGTTTTTTATTCATATATCTATTTCTATAAAAGCTTAAATTATCGTTATTATTATGAAAAAAATTCAAAGTTTGAATGTTAATTAAAAATCTTCAGTTTTGTGTTAACTGGTGCTGGGCAAGGTCGTAGAATGGTATTTTTCTGTTGTTTTTTTTAGAAAAAAACTGTCATAACCATTAATTCCAAACGTTA